TTTTTTTTTTTTTTTTTGAGACACAGTCTCACGCTGTCACCCTGGGTAGCGTGTCGTGGCAACCTCCAACTCTTGGGCTCAAGCGATCCTCTCGCCTCAGTTTTTCTATTTTTAGTAGAGACGGGGTCGCGCTCTTCCTCAAGCTGGTCTCGAACTCGTGAGTTCAGGCAATCCACGTGCCTCAGCCTCCCAGAATGCTAGGATTACAGGCGTGTGCCACCGCGCCCCACGTAAAGGATAATTCCTATTCGTTAAGACCTCGATATGGTTAATTTTTTTTAACATAACCTCAAGATGTTATTGTTTTAATAATAAAACAAAAGATGATGCTAGAACTGAACCACTTCGCCCTTTCTTTTTTTTTTTTTCTTTTTGTTCTTTTTGGCCGGGACTGGTTTGAACCCACCACCTCCGGCATATGGGGCTGGCGCCCTACTCCTTTGAGCCACAGGCGCCGCCCGACTTGGCCCTTTCTTTTCTTAGCTCCTCCTAGTTCAAAATGTTTGCATCTATTAATAGCCAGCCTTCTGGGCTAGGCGCAGCGGTTCCTGCCTATAATCCTAGCACTCTAGGAGGCAGAGGCAGTTGGATTGCCTGAGCTCAGGCGTTCAAGACCAATCTAAGCAAGAGCGAGACCTCCCCCATCTCTAAAAATAGCTGGGCTTTGTGGCAGTGTGCACTTCCAGCTACTTGGGAGGCTGAGGCAAGAGGATCGCTTGAGCGAGAGTTTGAGGCTGGCAGCGTCTGTAGCTGAGTTGGCAAGGGCACTGGCCACATGCACCTAGGGTGGTGGGTTTGCATGGCCCGGGTCTGCTAAGCAACAATGACAACGGCAACAAAAAAATAGCCGGGCCTTCTGGTGGGCGTTTATAGTCCCAGCTACTCTGGGAGGCTGAGGCAACAGAATCGCCTAAGCCCAACAACTGGAGGTTGCTGTGAGTTATGATGCCATAGCACTCTACTGAGGGCGACAAAGTGAGACACTGTCTCTAAAAAAAAAAAAAAAAAAATTGGCTCGGGGCCTGTAGCGAAGTGGTTAGGGCTCCAGCCACATACATGGGGGCTAGCAGGTTCAAACCTGGCCCAGGGCAGCTAAACGACGATGACAACTACAACCAAAAAATAGCCCGCGTTATGGCAGATGCCTGTAGTGCCAGCTGCTCGGGAGGCTGAAGCAAGACAATCTCTTAAGGCCAACAGTTTGAGGTTGCTGTGAGCTCAGATGCCACAGCACTCTACACAGGGCGACAACAGTGGGACTCTGTCTCAAAATAAATGAATAAACAAATGAATAAATAAATAACTTCCGTCATAGGCAGTGCACCATGGTGACACCTATAATCCTAGCATTCTGGGAAGCTAAGGCAGAAGAATCACTTCAGCCTAGGAGTTTGAGGTTGCAATGAGCTGTGATGATGCCTCTGCACTCTAGCCACAGTGACTGACAGAGTAAGACTCTTTCTCAAAAGATTAGGGGAAAAAACAACGGAAAAGTAGGAGACCGCCACACCCTGAGGCAGCAAAAGATAGGCTTCAGTGGCTAAAGGACACCACATCATCACATGGAATGACTATTTCCTAAATGAAGCCTAGGTCTCTAAAGATTGGGTCTTCTACCTGTTCACCACCTTCCACACAAATCCCAAACTACTACTTTTCCCGTTTTTTAATTGGCTAAGACCTCTCCAGTGTAAATTAGCATCTCTTGATCCTCCCAAAGTTGTGGAAACTTCACCGAAGGCTCTCCTCAACATCCTCTTTCCTAGCTATTCCTGAAGATATGCATGCAAATTCCTTCAAAAGGTGTTGCTAATTACTTTTGGATTGATAACTTCATTTATAAGAACATAAAACAATATTAAAAACAACCGGCCTGCAGCTCACCCCTGTAACTCTAGCACATGAGGAGGCCAAGGTGGAAGGATTGCTTGAACTCAAGAGTTTCAGAATGCAGGGACCTACGATGGGCCACTGTGCTCGAGCCCTAGCGACAGAGGAAAACCTTGTCTCAAAAAAAAAAAAAAACAAACAAACAACAACAACAAAATAAAAACCGTCAATCAAACAGACCAACAAAAAACAATATTAAAAAATGTGGAATTTTAGAGGCGGCGTCTGTAGGCTCAAATGAGTAGAGCGCTGGCCCCACATATCGGAGGTGGCGGGTTCAAACCCAGCCCCAGCCAAAAACTGCAAAAAAAAAAAAAAAAGTGGAATTTTAAAGCTTTTTAAAACTTACTAGTTTCCTTCAATCACTTATTTTTCGAATTTTGAATTTTTTCCTTAATTTCCAAGCGTGAGTTTCAACAAACTAACCTGTCTCGGAATCCCCACTCTTTTTCAAAAGAGTGTGAAGAGAATCTGCTTAACTGTGCATCCCCCTACCCCACAATTCATGTGCGACCAGATATTTGGGAGCCCCGGATCTAACGTCAGCAAGTGCCTAAAGATCGTGTTCGGGGTTTCTGACACTAACATTCTGGTCGCTTCCCTACCCCATGTTCTGAAGTTTTGTGTACACCACTTCTCACACACCACTCCCAGTAACAGTTGGCATTTATCCTAATAATGACTCTTGCTCTCTTAGGGAGAGTAGCCGGTCTTCCACCATTGGGGATTTTTTTTTTTTTGCCAATGTCGACTATATTTCAAGTCATCATGGCGGGGTACTGGGAAAAGATTTCAAATGTCAATAATCGCGCCTCGGATAAACATTGGCTACAACACTGCCACTGCGCAAAGCTTGAGACTTTTTCTTTAAAAAAGACTGGGAAAGGGCGGTGCCTGTGACTCAGACGAATAGAGCGCCGGCCCCACATACCGGAGGTGGCAGGTTCAAGCCCGGCCCTGGCCAAAAACTCTAAAAGACTAAGAAAACTAAACCACGCAATCAAAATGACGGACGGGGGAGAGTAGTCTGAATTGGGTTATGAAGCCCCCGTGCGGGGTACCTCACCTCAGCCATTGAACTCACTTCGCTGGCCGTGAGTCTGTTCCAAGCTCCGGCGAAGGAGGCATCCGCCGCGCCCATCCCAGAGTGGGGTGGGTCCACGGCATCTCCTGCCCAGTCTGACCTTGCGCGGAGCCCCGCTCTCTGGGAACTCACCTCCCCGAGACTCAGGGAGAGCCCTGTTAGGGCCGCTTACTGGCCCCAGTCTCAGACCTTCCCAAGGGACAAAGGGGTGGAGTGACACAGTGCACTCAGCTCGTAGCCCCACCGATGAGCTTCCCTCCGCCCTACGCCTAAAAGGGCGCTTGCACAGAATTTATAAGGTTCCCAAACAGAGACACATTTCATTATTATGGTGACTTCCCACAATGCACAGCGCCATGCAAATATGCTAGGACCTGCCTCCCCACACCCGCTACCTTAAGGTCGTCAACTAACCAGTGCGCGCGCGCACTGCGCGTTTCCCGCCGGTGACTCAATGCCCGCGTTTGGTGGGAGCTAGTTGGTGACCTCAGTTCTGGAGGCTCATGGCGACTCGGCGGAGGACCAGCGGTCGCAGGGCGCGAGGTTCGGGGGTCTTTAGCAGGGCCGGATGCTGGGGGGGAGCGTCGGAAGAGGAACTGTACTTCTAACACTGGCCTCCTTCGCTTTCCAGCTCCTCCTGACTTGCACTTGGCTACCAAACTAGTTTTGGTGCTAAACTTTTCATAATTTCGGTTTTCAGATTTTTTTTTTATTGCAAAATTGTAACTGGAGGCCTGTGGGCCTGTAACAACTAATGTGCCAGTACTACTGTTAATACTAGTGTCATCCAATTAAAAAACTTTAGGTGCACTGTTTTATATACCAATAAGAAAGGTTAAGTACTTCCAATTAAACTATAATGCACTACTTACCTGTCATCCATTCTAAGATGCATCCCAACGCCAGAGACAGTAAAATGAGAGTCTTAGTTTTGTTGAGTGATAGTTCTCTGTGTATTATGTTCTAATACGTACACGTACACCCTGTAAATTAGAAACTATTGTGTGTCATCTTCGGGATTTTACCCTTGAGGCAACTGAGGTACAAAGAGAGCAAATCACTTCTCCAAGTTTCCATAGCTAGAAGAAACAAAACTGGGCTCTAAACTAGGCACAGTCCTCACTTTACTGCTAACCATTAACTCCTACAGCCTCAGAGATGAGGTAGGTATTTAGGGGGTATCAGGTAACAAGTAAACAGAAAAGATTAGCAGACTATAAGACTCATGCCTCTGTCTTTGAATTTACAAGAGCCATAGTACTTCCTCTTGTTTGGCTAGAATAGCAATGTAGGAAGGATTACTCAGACTAAGTATTACCAAGAGTAGTGATGTGGCAGTTGTTTTTTCTTTCTTTTTTTATTTTTTTCTAGATAGAGTGCTATGGCATCATAGCTCACAGCAACCTCAAACTCTCAGGCTCAAGCAATCCTCTTTAAAAAAAAAAAAGAAAAAATTTTATTCAAATTAATATGAGGGTACAATATTTAGTTCACACTTCCAGGGCAAAGTTCCAATTGTAGAAGAGCCCCTCACCCAGGGGGTGTGTTCGTATTAGGTGAGATCCCACCTCCTGCCCTCCCTTCCTCTGCCATATGTCCTCCCCCAGTTCCCTTTCCCACTTCCCTCTACCCTTGAACTGGATTAAAATAGTGTTTTATTGTTCTTAGGAATATGTAATTGTTTATATATTGATTTCATATTAGTATGAAGTACACTGGATATTCATCTTTCCATTCTTGTGATACTTTACTAAGAAAAATGTATTTCAACTTCATCCAGGTAAATGTAAAAGATGTAAAGTCACCATCTTGTTTAATGGCTGCATAATATTCCATGGTATACATATACCACAGTTTGTTGATCCATTCATGAGTTGATGGACACTTAGGTTGCTTTCACAGCTTGGTAATTATGAATTGAGCCACAATAAACATTCTAGTGAAATGTCTTTGTGGTAAAACGATTTATGTTCTTCTGGGTAGATACTTAGTAATGGGATTGCAGGGTCAAATAGAAGGTCTACTTTTAGATCTTTGAGGATTCTCCATACTTCTCTCCAAAAGGGCTGTATTAGCTTGCAAGTTCGCGATGTGGGCTAATCTTTCTGGGGTTAGGTGATAGAGTGGTTTTGATTTGCATTTCTCTGATGATTAAAGACAATAGGGCTTTTTTTTATATGTTCATTGGCCATTCGTCTGTCAGCCTCAGAGAATTTCTGTTCAAATCATTTGCCCACTTATAGAGAGGGTTGTTTGCACTGTTCTTACTGTTTAATTGAGTTCTCTGTAGATTCTGGCTATCAGGCCTTTGTCAGATTTATAACTTGCAAAAATCTTCTCACATTCTGAGGGCTGTCTGTTTGCTTTGTATGTGGTACTCTTAGCTGTGCAAAAGTTTTTTAGCTTGATCAAGTCCTAGTTATTTATTTTTGGTGTTGCTGCCATTGCTAGGGAGGTCGTCCTCATAAAGTTTTTTCCCAGGCCAATATCTTCAACTGTTTTTCTCACAGTCTTTCTAGAATTTTTATTGTCCTCTCATGTCTTAAATTTAAATCTTTTATCCAATGAGAATCAATTTTTGTCACTGGTAACAGATGTGGGTCCAGTTTCAGTCTTCTGCATGTGGATAACCAATTCTCCTGCCACCATTTGTTAAATAAGGATTTTTTTCTTCATATTTTGTAAGGCTTATCAAAGATTAAACAATGATATGTGGATGGGTACATCTCTAGATTCTCAAGCAGTCCTCTTGCCTCAGCCTCCTGAGTGGCTAGGACTATAGGCGCCAGCCATACTTGCTATTTTTAGAGACCGAGGTCTCACTCTTGCTCATGCTGGCTAGGATTACAAGCATGAGCCACCCACCCGGCCTTAATTTTTCTATTTTTAGTAGAGATGTGGGTCTCACTGTTGGTCAGGCTGGTCTCTAACTCCTGAGCTCAAGTGATCTACCTACCTTGGCCTCCCAGAGTGTTAGGATTACAGACTTGAGCCACCACAAGTCTATTATTGTTTCTTCATAAACTTAAAAACCATCTTAAACCATTTTTTTCCCATGTATTTTTTATTTGTATGGCTTCCTGGGATACAAGCGTAATTTTGCTGCATTGATACATACTATATTACATATGGTGAAGTCAGGGCCTTCGGTGCATATATTACTGAAGCAACTCACTTGATTACCCACCCACCCCACCCACCCCCATCATTCACCACCTCCACCCTTATGAGTCTCCATTGTCCATCATTCCACCCTCTGCTTCTATAAGTAGACATTATTTAGCTCCCGCTGTTAACTGAAAACACGTAGTATTTGTTTTTTTGTGTCTGAGTTCTTTTTTTTTTTTTTTTTTTTTTGAGACGGAGCCTCAAGCT